TCGTGTATAACATGCAAACCCAATTACTTTTTGATACCATCAGAAATGTTGACATGTCAAAGTTATTCGGGACTTGTTGGATGCGCAGATAAAACACAATTTGGTTGTGAACAATGTGAAGAGGGGTATTACTTGGACTCGGTTATTCCTCGGTGCAAAACATGTATTGAAAACTGTACAAAGTGTTCAAATCAATACTCATGCGAGGTGTGCCAAAAAGACAACATATATGTCAACAAAAAGTGTGTTCATTATACTCATTTCAAGTATTGTATTGAAGCGTTTAATAGTGAATGTTTGAAATGTAGTGAAGGTAAACAACTCAGTGATGATAGAAAATCATGTGAAGACACTACAAACACAGTTTTAATAACAAGTTTATCAGTCACTTTTATAGTAATAGTTATTATTGTAGTTATAGTACTATTATTTACACTTTCCTATTTGTACAATTACTTTGGAAACAAAAAGAAGATGCAGAATGTTTGTGTATTCAAAATGAAGCGATCAAATGTTACGTTTTATGATATCAACGAATGGCTTGTATCTAACAAGAAAACGCTTGTCTTTGTAAACGATGACAATGAAAATAGCGACATTCCAGTCGGTAAAGAAACACGCGAGTTGTTGTGTGTTGGAAACAAATCGAAAAATACAATTAAAATTCAGTTTAGTGTTTTAAAAGGATGTGAAAATTACAACATCAGAACAGAGCCAAGTTTGGTTAATTTAAAAAGTGGAGAAGCATGTGAATTTGAGATGTTTTTAACACCAATTTGTTCTTGCAACATCGAAGAGAAAATTGTATGTGTTGGTCTTGATATTCGAAAAGGTGTTGAAATGATCCAACAAATACAAATAAGTGCAAAAACCCAGATGACAACACATCTTGACTATCACGAGTTACAGGAGGAAAAACGACTTGGTGAAGGCTCGTTTGGAATTGTGTATTTAGGTGAATTTCGAGGATACAAAGTAGCAATTAAGAAAATGAAAGAGGGGTGCAATGACGAAATTAAAATGAAAGAATTTGAAAAGGAAGTCAATATGTTGGACAAATTTAGAAGTGACTATTTGGTCCACTTTTATGGTGCTGTGTTCATACCAAATAAAGTTTGTATGGTCACTGAATTTGCTCAATATGGAAGTTTGAACGACTTGATAAAGAACAAAAATAAAATAACAATAGAAAATGAAATTAAAATAAAATTCATGAAAGATATGGCAAATGGGTTGCTTTACTTACACACAAACGGGATTGTACATAGAGACATCAAACCAGACAATTTACTCGTGTTTTCACTTGATGTGAATGACAAAGTAAATGCCAAACTGACAGATTTTGGGAGTGCAAGAAATATCAATTTATTGATGACAAACATGACATTCACCAAAGGTATTGGAACACCGGTGTACATGGCACCTGAGGTGTTGAAAAAAGAAAAGTATAAGAAGAGTGCAGATATCTATTCATTTGGTGTCACTTTGTACGAAACGTTAAAATGGGGAGAAGCGTACGACAAAGAGGAATTTAAGTTTCCCTGGAAAATAGCAGAATTTGTGATTTCTGGAAAACGACTTGAGAGAAATGAAAATATGAGTGACAGTCAATATGAATTGATACAAAAATGTTGGAGTCAACAACCAGAAGATAGACCAAATATCAATGAAGTGGTTAAATTTTTGAGAACATCTAAAAAATAATTTAGTTTTACTTTTCATTTTTTTAAAAAAAGTGTTTTTTATTCACATAACAAAATTTACAACACTTTTAAACTTTCAAATTAATTATATATATACAATATTGTTAATATACATGTAATTGTTGATTACAATTTTTGTTGAATAACTATTTTACATTGTTATTCTCGATTAGTGATTGCAACTTTTGTGTATTTTGTTTGACATTTTGTTGAAACAAAGTAAAATCAAATAAAACAATTGTTATTAATTTCATTGTGTAACTACTCCAATATCATTTATTTTTATTCAACAGTATTTTGTCGATAATCACATGTCAGTGATATATTATACATTTTTTTACTATCATATTATTATTTTTCATAATACAACACAAGAGCAAACACGTATATTGTTGTAACACAAGAACTATTATGATTTATTATAATGAGAC